TGTCCATGACATTGTTGGGGTCAAGCTATCTAGTCATGTAGGCATATGAATGCACAACAAGGGATCTCTAACCTTCCATGGTGGAAGGAGAATACTCTAAGATATGATTCGGGAGTCTTTGGCCAAAGCATACTAATATGACTTAGGAAGTATGTTCCAAATCATATTAAATTGAATCATATAAAGAAGTATCACATTGGATAGTTGATAAGCTCATGTTTATATATATTTTACATCAAATTCACTTGTCTTTTCTTAGTTAGTTCCTTATATTTTTGAGCTATTTACTTTGTTTTTGTGTTTTGTGGGATTTGTCAAGCAAATAAAAGAAAAATAGCACAAGTGGGATTTTAAGTAACAAATTCGTCAAAACTGCCTGTGCAGATTAGCTGACTTTGGAAGCAAGTTGCGAACATCTCAGAATGAATTAGAGAATGAGCCTTATATGCTTGGAAAGCTACTGATGTCTATTTTCTGGAGCATTTTGCGGATTGTTAATATCATTTTTCTAGAGGAAGTTATGGCTGTTTAAACACTTAAAGGTTACCAAGAGGCTGAGCAGTTTGTAACTGCAATGAAAGCAATAAACCCAATAAATCTAGCAGCTGAAACTGATGCAGCCAAGAACAAGTCAGCTGACACCTATTCAAATATCAGAGGAAATGGAATTAAAAATGAGGATTAAGAGGGAGTAATTGGCATAAAGGCTACCTAAAGTGTTACAATTGTTTTACCACATTTCGTCTCACTTATTGTCATCACTAAATGGCTATTAGTCGGTGAGTTAAGGAGAAGAAAATGGTGCAGCAAGAATGGGTTTAAAAGCAGCATTGGGGAAGGAAGGAAGGGGGGAGGAGGCCTCGGTCGATTTCTTTCGGTTCTATCTTCTCAAACTCATGTCTATCTTTTGTTTTAACTTAAGGATTGTGTGTAACTAAATTTTTAGTAGTTAGGGGCTATTTTGAAGCCCCAAATATGATTTCAATTTTGTTATGACATTTCGTTTAATTACTTTTATGAATGGATGAAAATTGGTTCACTACTTGTCTCATTGATGAATTCTTTATTTGTTTTCTATGGATGCATACGTAGTAAGCATATCTAGGATTCTAATGCTATGAATATGTGTGTGCCTGCCCTTGTCGAATGAGGACCTACATATATTCTAGAGTAGTACTTGTTAATTGCGATTAACATGTGAACCAATTTCTAGGATAAGTAAGACAACGCCAGTACTTACGATGCCTTGTGATGACTCAAACTCTTTTCGTTCTTAATGATTTCTACTTGTTAAATCTATGAACACGCCATTCTAGATTGCATGCTAGGGACTAAGTTAAGTTGAAAACGCCATTCTCTTAACATACTACGTAAGAAAGAGTAATAGGTTGAGTTCTAACATTGAGCCAACTTGAACATCTTCATCCGGAAATAAAAGGAATTTGAATGAAACATAACATGTTTGCATGATTATTTGGTGGTGGATAGCAATTCCCCTAACTCGTTTTTCTTAATTTATGAACTATTTAAAATTTGTTTCTGTCCTGTTTTTGTTCAATTTAATTTAAATATAAAATCAACTCCAAAAATCCCAAAATTTTTTGTGAGTGTAGCTCTGTGTGTCTAGTGTTGTCATATAAAATTTCGTAAACTTTAGATAAGCGTAAGTTAGTCTAATAATTATTTTTCGGTGACTGTTCAGTATGGACAGCAGCCTAGTTTTTGTGACGTTTTAAGTAGTTAGATAAAACAATCTTCTGCGGGAAAGACCCTTATTTTCATATGCAACAATTGACAAATCTTAGCTTTAATAAGGAAAATCAATAGGACATTTGTGTGCTACTTTGTGGTGTGCTTTTAATCCTATCAATAGTAGACATGAAACAAACTATCATTCAAACAATGTGATTAAGAGTATTGTATTAGAGAAGGACCGTATTGCATTGTAATTGTAACTGGATAGGTTCTCCAACCACTTCTACTTAGCTTGGGTAGCCATGACATACTATTAGGTGTCACTCATGGTTTGTGAAAGCCCTGAAGATTAGCAAACACTAATCTTCAACAAAGGGAGAATTGAAATGTTGTTCCAATTCACAATCGATCGTTAAGAGTAACAATCGCCCACTGTCTCGCTAATTGGAACCTAATGGATCGTACACCGAGTAAGGGTGAAAGTGAATAAATATAAATGAGATGGATAAGCGATTAAATGGTTTAATTGAGAATGGTCAAGATTAATTAATTAGTTAATTAATTTTACGAAAGGTTCGTATTGGGCTTTTAAGTTGGTTTTGGGTTTCGGGGCCCAAAAGTGTTTTGGTCCACAAGGCCCATTATGTTTAAGTTGTATGACAACTAAAACAAAATGGGCAATTAGCCCAATAACAAAGACAAGGCCGGCCATAAGGGTGAGTGGATGCAAACTTGAATTAATTACAAGTTTGCCACTCAAATGTGATGTAGTATAAAGTCTACTTTTTAGCTATTTCTCATTAGGGTTATCTTGAGACAAGGAAGAGAAACATTTTCTCTCTTTTTCTCTACAAGGAGGCCGGCCACATAGGGAAGATATAGCTAGCAATCTTTTCTTCTCTAAGTCATCCATTTCATCTTCACACCTTATCCTTGGTGTGGAGACTTAGAGACACCAAATCTTTGGTGTTTTTGGAGATCCTTTCCTCACATCCTCAAGGAGCAAAGGAGCATCAAAAGGAAGAAAATCACAAGGAAGATCCAAGGAGCTAGGAGGTGACTTGAAGGCCCTCCACTTGGGTGAATCCCTTGTGTAAACAAGGATGAGCTTCAAGTGTAATGAATCTCTAAAACCGTCTTTCTCTTTAATGTTGTTAAAGAGTCTTGTGGTTCACCATTCACTAGGCTTTGAAAGTCATGGGTTTTAGAATTGTTTTTGAATGCATGCCTACTTTAATGTGTTAATAGTTTGCATATGTGTTCAAATATTCTCACATGTTCTTAGCTAGGACAAAATTTTTCCTTCAGTTCCTTAAATGCATATTCATTATTCTTTTATATTTCTAAGTCTTATCTATTCCCTATTCTCAGTATTTGCATTCAATAACTGGCTTTCGTCACCCTCGGGTGTCAGCCAACACATGCCTATCCTGGTATTCGAGGAATATCGGGATCGAGGCGTGTCATTAAGGTTGCTAGATATCCTCTAGAATTCTCCCGATTTAATACAAATTCAATATCCTAAAAGGACTCTTTCTATAATATAATACTCCCCCTAAGATTCATCAATGGTAACACATATTTTGCTCTCTTGCCAATCGCTTGAGTTCTAAGATCTTTATACTAACTTGATCATCGGAGACCCTTTAACCAGTATCACTCTAGTACCTCAGGTAATTCACGGTTGTTTGCTCTTTCCTGTAGGTGGCCGCTCTCGCACTCTCTTTCATCCACGTTGGTGTGGAAATTTGATTCCAACAAACTTGACAAGCATGTGACTTTTTACGTGGATGGAAACGATGGTAAAATTTAATAAATCATTTTCTCAGTTGAAACGATAGTAGATAATACTAAAGCTCGTGAGAGGAGATATACATTTGAATATATGACAATTTTCTATGTGATCAACTCATTGGTACTACCACTAGGACAATATATATATATATATATATATATATATATATATATATATATATATATATATATATATATATATATATATATGAAGCCTTTAAGGGAAAGGATCTCCATTTTTATAGAAATGGGGATTAATTGTGGGGCCAACACCACATCGAACTTTAACAATTCGAATCATCTATTTTTCAAGTTACACCTCTAGAACATCCTTGCAAAATATTAGCCAAATTAGAAATATTTGAGGCATTTAATTGAGTTCAAAAAACTTGACGAACACTTTGTTCTCTAAGGAACATTAAAAATTCATCGTGATAATCAAATAAGCAAATGGTTTCGGATAGAATTGAACTTTTGCAAGAATGTCCATGAATCAAGACTTACAAAATAGACGGCTCGAATCATTGAAAACTGGAGATCCCTTGTATATACATGCCCTTTATCCAAAGGATCTCATTTTTGGGTAAAAATGGGGACTAGCTATAGGGCCCACTTCATGACGAATTTCAATGATCCGAACCGTCTGTCTTGTAAGTCTCGATTCATAGATCATCCTTGCAAAAATCACTTCAATCTAAAGTCATTTGCCTATTTAATTATCAAGTTGAAATTCTAATGTTTCTTAAAGAACAAAGTATTCGTCAATTTATTTGAACTTAATTAGATGTCTCAAATATTTTCGATTTGGCTAATATTTTGCAAGGATGATCTACGGTGCAACCTGAAAATAGATAGTTCAGATCGTTGAAGTTCAATGTAGAGTGGGTCCTGTAATTAATATTTATATATATGCATATGTGTGTGTGTGTGTGTGTGTGTGTGTGTGTGTGTGTGTGTGTGTGTGTGTGTGTGTGTAAGTAGGTTTGAAGTACAAAGCGGCAAAAATGTGAAGAAAGGTGAGATGCCGAGAAGTGGTAGACTTGGGATAATTAAGGAAATTAGTTATCACAAAAATTAGTTATCACGGAAATTAGTATCTCTAGCATTACTAAAAAGTTGAGACAAATTCAGCTCATATAAATTCCAATTCCATAGGCACCAATGAGCTTCCATTTGAGCAACTTTTCATGAACTGGGGGAATCTCGATTGATTGGTGTAATAATATTGCATGCTTGGCAAAAAATGGATTTATCTGCGTCAGTGAGTTAAACTCCTGGGCAATTCCAGCACTCGATTACAAATACAACTGCCAAAACCAAACGATGAAAAGCAAGGAACTATTTTTTCCGATCTTTTTCGATTGAAACGGAGTGAGAAACGAATTTATCAAAGAGGACAGCCTCCTAGCTTTGGGACTCACTCCTTAATATGCTATACACCAGCTGTAAGGAGCCCTTATTGGGCTCACGATCTTGTTCTTTTTAATTCCCCATCTGTACTTTCACCCTAATCCTGAGAGATTCCTAACCGAAACTAAAAAAAATTGAAGTTCCTCCCTCTATATGCCACATAAAATACCATACCACTTGTTACTTTGATTTGTTCTGATACATGGCTCGTAGTACTAGTCGCCGGCGTGACACAGTGATAGACATTGGGAAGCCGTCGAGCTTCACAGGGGGGCTTGAGTTTTCCACCCTAACGTACACGGTGACAAAGAAAACCAAAGATGAGGAGGGAAAATGGATGACGCAAGAAGTGGACTTGTTGCACAAGATCACGGGGTTTGCACCAAAAGGGTCTATCACAGCCGTGATGGGTCCTAGTGGTGCCGGGAAGTCTACGTTCTTGGATGGACTGGCAGGGAGGATAGCAAGTGGGAGTCTTAAGGGAAGAGTGTCCTTGGATGGCAAGGAAATGAGTCTCAGCTTGATTAAAAGGACTTCAGCCTATATTATGCAGGATGATAGGCTTTTTCCAACTCTTACAGTTTATGAGACCTTGATGTTTGCTGCTGATTTCAGGTTGGGACCGGTTTCAAGTGCTGATAAGAAGCAGCGAGTCGAAAAGCTGATTCAACAGCTTGGATTAACTGTGAGTAATTTTATTCAATCCATAAATCGGTTCTATATGAGTATAGAATGGTATACTTTTAGGTATCCACCATGATATGTCAATCCGGATCATATATTTAAATGAGATTTTCAGTTGATCCATAGAATAGATTGACGGATAACAGGCATGCTAATGGTCCTTGAGATTAGCGTAACGCCTTGGTTCCTGATAATACAAATTGATAGACGTGGTCCCCAAGTATGTTCACCGTAAATCATTTTGGTCATCCTATGAAAAATATGTCAATATCCTCATTAAATGATCCTGTGGGCGACAACATGACCACCTTTTGAAGGTAATTTTATCAAAACAATTTCTTCACCTAATGAGAATACTGACAGATTTTCACGAAATGACCAAAATGATTCATGATGGACACACTCAGGGACCACTTCTATCAATTTAATTGTCAGGGATTAAAATAAAGAGTTATGCTAATTTCGGATACCATATTTGCTAAAAGGCCAAAAACATATTTCCTGGTATATATGCATGCATGTTGTTACAGAGTACTGTTTTTATGTTACCAGAGATAAATTTGGATTGCATACTCAGTTAAGAATAAAACCGATCAAATGATTGAATTCAACATGAGAAAGCTAACCTACTATTCCATATTATTGGTGAGCTTATGTATTTGAAAATATTTCTTTACGTTGAAATGACTACTTTCATCTTCCAAATTAACTAATAATTAACTTGGATTCCATTTCTTTGTTGATTTATTGATGGCACAAAACCCTAGTTCAGACTTACATATGGTATTTTCCTTTCAATCTTTTTGCAGTCTGCCAGAAACACGTTCATAGGTGATGAGGGAACCCGAGGAGTGTCTGGTGGTGAGCGTCGGAGAGTTTCAATTGGAGTGGACATCATTCATGGACCATCACTCCTCTTCCTTGATGAACCCACTTCTGGTCTAGACTCCACCAGTGCTCACAGTGTCATCGAAAAGGTGCACCACATTGCACGCTCTGGAAGCACTGTAATTCTCACCGTTCACCAACCCTCGTCCAGAATTCAATTGCTTCTCGACCATCTGATCATTCTAGCTCGAGGGCAGCTCATGTACCAAGGATCACCAAAAGATGTGGATCTCCATCTTGGTCGAATGGGGCGCAAAGTTCACAAGGAAGAGAGCCCTATTGAGTACCTCATTGATGTGATTCAGCAATATGATCAGTCTGAACTCGGGGTCGAGGCACTAGCCGAATTTGCACGTACTGGAATGAGACCCCCGCTGTTAGTTGATGTGGATGCCTCACCTTCGACAGTTATGCCAACACCACTGCGCCATGGCGGACGTGGAGGTGAAGGCCTGGAGGACAAGGGAAAGTCTGGAAAACGCCTGCACTTACAAACTAGTATACATTCAGTCAATGATTTTGATCACAGTGTGAGAAGCCCTTACAACAATAGTAATTCAAGGTCATGGACTCCCAGCCATAGTGGGGTCATGCAAAAACTGCAGATGTTTACCCCTTCACGGCAACGAGAAGGCCAAAAGATGCAAAGCCCCATGAGGTAAGTCATCTGAAAATGTCATTATTCAAATTTGATGCTAAATTTGTTGGATTAATTTATGTCGGTTATTTACTAAAAACTAAGCTCAAATAGTTGTCTAACATGATATCAGGGCTCTATGCACTATCTGCTGTTTAAGCTTTTGAGGATCGAGTATATTTCATATAATGTGATTAATCATTCGTCACTAAGAAATAATCACATTTGTTACTAATTGATCGCGATCTTGCTCTGTTTTTTTATGCACAATTGAAAATTCGATTTCTCAAAGCCTAAACAAAATCACATTATACATTTTTGCAGTGCATCCCCAGGCTACAACTATTCAAGTGAGATTCTTCCAAGCACACCAACGCCCCATAGCAGTGACTACACAGTGAATGAAAATGACTATCTGACCCCGGATATTGGTCCTAACACCAATTCATACCACCACCTTGGCCCCAAATTCGCCAACTCATTCTTCCCTGAGACTTGGATTCTCATGAGGCGTAACTTCATCAACATCAGGCGCACACCCGAGCTTTTCCTCTCAAGACTAGTAGTCCTCACATTCATGGGCTTCTTAATGGCCACCATGTTCCTAAAGCCACCAGAAACCACTCAAGGCATCACCAACCGCCTCAGTTTCTTCATCTTCACTGTCTGCCTCTTCTTCTTCTCATCAAATGATGCTGTCCCAGCCTTCATCCAGGAGCGCTTCATCTTCATCCGCGAGACTGCCCACAATGCCTACAGAGCCTCTTCATACACAATTGCTGGCCTAGTAACATACCTCCCCTTTCTTGCATTGCAAGCATCTGTTTACGCTGGCATTGTTTGGTTTGCCTTGGGGCTTAGAGAGCCCTTCATATACTTCTTGGTGGTTCTCTATGTTTCTCTCCTCTCAACCAATTCATTTGTGGTGTTTGTGAGCTCAGTTGTGCCCAATTACATCTTGGGATATGCAGCAGTCATTGCCTTCACTGCCTTGTTCTTCTTGTTCTGTGGCTACTTCTTGAATAGCCACGACATCCCTGGCTATTGGTCCTGGATGAACAAAGTCTCCACCATGACATATCCATATGAAGGACTTATAATGAATCAGTACCAAACTAGCGATACTTTCGGAAAAAACCCTGACGGGACCAACATAACCGGTTTCAACATCTTAGAAGGTCTTCGCATAGATTACGGCGGAGAACACACTCTCTCTGAAGTGAAGAAGTGGGAGAAGGTGTACATAATGTTGGGCATGACTGTTTTATACAGGGTTTTGTTTTACTTAGTCATTCGTTTCACGTCCAAGAACCAGAGGACGTAGATGAAAATCGCAGAGGGACAAGAGAGTGTGATCATCATGTTGATCAATTTGCTTTTCAAAGTTATGGTTTGTGAAATTGAACTGTTAATTTCTATTGCTAGCTTCTTTTGGTTAATCTTTGAAATTATGTTCAGAGCTGCGAGAGATTTTTTTTTTTTTGGGTCAATTGCAGAAGAATGGTTCGGCGCATAGCATATTTATTAACAATTATAAATTACGTGAATTAGTAATAACTGAAAACAGTTGCTTGGTTTATCTTTACTCTATCAACTTTAATAAGAATAAAAAGGAATTGTTTGTTGTAATGTGTATATTTTGCCTGAACATTCAAAGATATTAGAGACTCTAAATCGTTATGTTATTAGGTGAAACTGCGCTTGAATATACGGTCTTAATTGACTAACATATTTTGCTTGAACTTTCAAAGAGATTAGAGGTGCTAAATCATTATGTTATTAGGTGAAACTGCGCTTGAATATACGGTCTTAATTTGACTAAAAAAACATGTTAAACTCCCTAAATAAAAAATAATAATTACATAATACAGGGAACAAACCACAAGAAATGTTATCCTGTCAATGTTTTGGCCAAATCATATGGAGAACTGACAAAGTTTAATACTTTTTTTTTATGTCAAAACAAAGTTAATGCTTTGAATGTGCGAATAATTTGTTGGAGGCGTCGACCCACACGTTGCTGTCCAGAGACTTGGCATCGACCCACACGTTGCTGTCCAGAGACTAGACATCGACTCACACGTTGCTGTCCAGAGATTAGACATTGACCCACACGTTGTTGGCATCCGCAAGCTATCAATCCTCTTGGTGTATGGCTTGGAGTATCAGTACATCCCGCGAAGTGCCTCCTTATTGTGCCCTGATGGTATTTGTGATCAAGTCCTGAAGTTGTTGGATGGGAAGAGAACCCATTGATGTAGTTTCGGACTCTAGCTTTTGTTTCACTCCAACCTTGTTGACATGACGTGCCTCCTCCTCGCCAGACTCCTCGTCATGCTGATTCTTCTTTGGGACGAGGTTGACTTCTTCGTCATGCTGCGACTCCAACCGGCTCATGAGTGTAGCGATTTGCATGTCCTTCTCCTCGACATTCCTGGTCAGCTTTGCAATTGCCTCGTTCATCTGTGAGAGTTGTTCTTCAATGGAGGTGGCACCGATGGTCATAACCTGCACAACTAAAGGATATGACTCTTCTGCGGACATCAAGGGTGTTGGCGAAGTCTTCGTGCAATTGTTGATGGTTGGCGGTCCGTGGTAGGATCCTGCGCTTGAGTCCGCATCTAAAGCCGATGACAAGGAGCACTCCCTCGAGTTCTTTGAAGATGGAGAATCCCTCGCTGCTTTGGGATGTCATATTGCATGCCACGACAACATGCTTCGCTGCCCCCAGCGAGGCTAGGTTGATGACAAGCGTGCGTCTCTGACGCTTCCCTTGTTCCTTGAGTGGTACCAACTTGGAAGTGGCACACTGAATGGTCACCGCCTGTGCTTTGCTTCGAGTCATGATGCCGAAAGATTCTCCACTTGCAGCGGAAGTGCTGATGCTCTTTCCCTTGGTTGCAAAAACAACTTGATCCTTCTTCGATGCCATTGATTTTGAAGTGTGTTTGGATTTCTTGAAAGGAGAAAGAGATAAGAGGAAGAGATCGTCCCATTGAGCGTGCCAAATTTGTAAACACTAAAATCATGTGGCAAATAACAAGAAAACATGTGTACAAAGAATATTTGTATTAATGTAATTATAAGGTTACAATCTCTTTACAACTGGATCCTCTGATTCGATGTCCAAAATGTAAGGTGTGTAGTGTTGTTGATTCAAGATCGCGATGACTTGATCTTGGATGAACGGATGCTGCAAGGTTTTGGCTCTTGGCAATGGAGGAACCGATATGTGTAGGGGTGTTTGGTGGTTCTTCACGGTTTTGACGAAGAATGCGGAGGGTTTTCCAAGTCTTCTTGAGTGTTTGGGTGTTTGAGGGGTTTGAGCGCTTGAAAGCTTCCAAGTTTCAAAGCTTCAATGTTTGGGCGTGAGTACCATGGCCAAAAGCCTTAATGGCCGAATGACTTTTTTGTTTTGATATGCTCACATGCTCATGTGCCATACACCCATGCAATTGCGACCAACAAAGTCAAGGGCTCACAAGTATAATATTGACCAACAAAAGCTCAATCGATGGGAAGGAAAAAATGACCGAAGATGGGCAAGATTGATGGGAAGGAAAAATGACCGAAGATGGGCAAGTGTCATTCTTTCTCGGCGACATCAATAAAATCTTAGCCACCGATTGCATACCTGTTGCCCTTTTCTTAACCACCGATTGCATACCCGTTGCTTCCTTATGTTCTTAAGTATCTGCCGAAAAGCTGAAAAGAAAATGGAAATACTAAGCCTCGTGAAGGCCTACCACGTAATAAGTGCGGCCTTATTAACTGGAGCACGCCTTTCATATTGGCTCCCCAAGAGTATGCTACTGTCGAAGCTCGGCGAATATAAACGGCAGTTCCACATCATTTGAAATAAGAAGGCTCTTGGTCGAAATATATATAAATGAATCTCGGTCGACTAAGTATATAACCAAGTCAATCTCCAACCACACCTTTGCTAGGTATTCAACATACCGTTTGAAAAGTGATCTCTTACTAAGAGACAAATCCCACCGATTGAAGTCCATACTCAAAAAGAAAAAGAACTTTACGGGAATAGTTATTTTATTACTCCTTCAAAGCTATATACATATACAACTCTTAATCCACAAGGAAACAAAATAAAACAGGATATAAACAAACTCCTTCCTAATAAAGGACTCCTAGTATTTACCCTATTTACATTCCCTTTTTTTCTGCCCAAACTTTGACTCACGTTTACACTCCCCCTTAAGTTGGTGCATATATATCACACATGCCCAACTTGACAAGTGAGTCATCAAACTTACGACTACATACAGCATGAGTAAGAACATCCGCAAGTTGTTCCTCCAAATTCACAAACAGTATAGACACAATCTTCTTCTCAAGCTTCTCTTTAATGAAATGCCGATCAACCTCCACATGTTTTGTCCTGTCATGTTGCACCGGATTATCAGCTATATCTCTTGCTGACTTGTTATCACAATATAACTTCATGGTTTCCTTTGACTTGACCCCAAGACTCCAAAGAAGTTTTTGAAGCCAAAGAATTTCACAAATGCCGTGGGCCATGCCCTTATACTCAGATTCAGCTGAAGACCGTGATACCACCTTCTATTTTTTACTCCGCCATGTAACCAAGTTCCTTCCTACGAAAGTGAAATATTCGGAAGTAGATCTTCTATCACTGACATTTCCTGCCCAATCAGCATCTGTGAACCCCTCAATTATCAAATGCCCGTGCTTCCTGTACAAAACCCCTTTTCCTGGCGCATACTTCAAATATGCTAGGATACGCATAACAGCAGCCATATGATCCACACTCGGTGAATGCATGAACTGACTCACCACACTTATAGCACAGGCAATATCTGGACATGTATGAGCCAAATAAATTAGTCTCCCTACAAGTCTCTGATATCTCCCTTTATCAACAGGCTTCTGGTCTGGACCCAAATGTAGATGATGCTTTTCAACAATAGGAGTGTCTACCGGCTTACATCCCAGCATACCAGTTTCCTTTAATAAATCCAAAACATACTTACGTTGAGACAAGAAAATACCTTTTGAAGAGCGACCAACTTCAACCCCAATGAAATACTTCAAGTCTCATAGGTTTTTCATTTCAAAATCAGCTTCCAAATTATTCTGCAACTTCGAAATCTCATCATGATCATTTCCAGTAATAATCATGTCATCTACATAGATGATTAAGGTTGTCACTTTGCCTTTTCTCCGTTTAACAAACAATGTATGATCAAAATGACTCTGATGATACCCATTCTTCTTCATAACCTTGGTAAACCTGTCAAACCACGCACAAGGCGATTGCTTAAGACCATAGAGTGACTCACACAACCGACATACTCCGGTATTTCCATAAGCTCTTTATCCAGGAGGAAAATCCATATACACTTCTTCCTCCAAATTTCCATGGAGAAAAGCATTCTTCACATCAAACTGTTTTAATGGCCAGTCCATATTTGCAGCTAAAGAAATTAGAACACGTACCGTATTCATCTTGGCAACTGGAGAAAAAGTTTCTTGATAATCTACACCATATGTTTGAGTGTATCCTTTAGCCACCAACCTTGCTTTGTACCTGTCTATCAACCCATCAGCTTTGTATTTAATTGTAAACACCCATCGACATCCAACTGTTTTTTTTTCCTTTAGGTAAACACGTCACCTCCTGATAGGAGCATATTTATGCAACTTAGTTAGCTTGTTTCTTGGCATTTACTTAGTTTAATTCTAGTTAGTTTAGTACTTTAAGCTATTTTCGTGAGTTTGTAGGTTCAAATAACAAAGTTAGCAACAAAGTGCTATTTGGAGCATTTTGGAGCATTTTTGGGCCAAGATTGGATAGTGCAAGCATGGAGACATGAGGATGGACGTTTTTGAAGATTTGAAGGCTAAAAATCAGCATGTGTGTGTGCAAGTGTGTTGACCTACAACTCCAAACATCCATCCACTGCACCCAACACATCCACTCATTACCAAACACTCATCCACTGCACCCAACACATCCACTCATTACAACCACCCAACACATTCACCTACCACTACATCCATTCATTTCACCCAACATATCCATTCACCTACCACTTACATCACTCATTTCACCAACATCATCCACCCATTTCAACCACCCAACCACATTCACCTACCACTACATCCACTCATTACCACCACCCATTACATCCTATCCCTAGCCTATAAATATATCCATCCAAAGACACATCCAGGGGGGACAATTTAGGGAGAAGGGAGGAAGACACATTCTGCCGCAAGGCATAGTCTTTTCTTCTTAACCATTCTACACATTCCCACAACAAAAACACAATTCCATGCACCTTCATTTCCCTTT